AAAAACATAGATCTACAGGAACATAGTTACGTTCCCATTGCTTAACCCATTGCCAAACAACACTTCAGTTCTTTTCAACAACAGACGTTTTTAACCAACTACTCGATTTTTCACTTCTATTCCAAAAGTATTGAATGCTTTGCCAACTAGATGCATCACGCAGCTGATGACTGCCTTCACTTTTAGTTTATTTAAGCTTGTCACCATGTATATGTATTCATCATGCAGCTAATGCATGCCTTCAATCTTAATTTATTTAATCTGGACACACTGTTCTTTTTACTATGGTAGGGATCAAGGTGCATACTTGCAGGAGACCATCTTCAGCTTCCCCCAACAGTACAAAGTGTTGAAGCTGAGAAGAAAGGCTTAGGGAAAACTCTATTCGAGCGTTTGGCAAGCTTGTATGGTGAAGTAGCCATGTCTATGCTCACTGTCCAATATCGCATGCATGAGCTTATTATGAGTTGGTCATCTAAAGAGCTCTATGATAATAAGGTGCGTACGGGATGTGTGCCTTAACATTGTTATCGCACATTGGGAATTCTATGTTTCATATGTTCGTTTGAAATTGCTTCTTTGCAATTTTCTTGTACCTGAAACAGATGGAGGCCCATTCAAGTGTTGCTGGACATATGCTTTATGATCTTGAAGATGTGAAGAAGTCTTCTTCAACGGAGCCTACTCTTGTCCTCATAGACACATCTGGGTAATTCTCTCGTACCACCATTAATCTCATAGTTTATTAGGGTATTCAAGAAAGCTATTGGCCATGTTAGAGAAAATCTGGACGCCTAAAGTGTATTATAATCCAGATCCCTGCTAGAGAATAGGTTTCAAACTCGAGTGCATAAACTTTTCATTCCTATTAAATAATTGAACCAAGTATGTTGCGAGATAAGGAATACAGGCCTTGATAATCTAAATGCAATACAAAATGCACGAGGATGCAGTGCAACAACCTACACTAAACTTGTTTATATCTGATGAATCCTAGCTATATGAATGCTCTAGAAAATGAACACTTAAAAAGTTGGTTCCTAAGAAAGGCTTTAGTGAAACCTATGACGGAATACTAACGGCATGCAAAAGATACAACTTTTGATTATAGTTATCACAATACTTGCATAAATTATCGAAATATACATAAAACAATGATGTGTAATCAGATCTAATGAAAGTTATATAACTGAAAAGAAAGTGTACTCGCAAATTGTGAGATCCCGCAAGTTGTTATTTCTCTGCTTTAGACCTTAATACTCTTTTGGATCTAATATTAATCAGATTTGTATATCAGATCTAATATGAATAGGCATGGATAAGGTTTTGGGGCCTTATTAGTTGTGTAATGTGGGGTGGTTATACGTATTTCCTCATTTATTAGAATCATATAAGATGTATTTTATACTTATTTCCTTATTTGTTCTCAAGTTCCTATTAGCGCATGTGATTTGCTACTCATTTGGTTCAGGTGCGACATGGAAGAGAAAAAAGATGAAGAGGATAGCAGTTTGAATGAAGGTGAAGCTACAGTGGCGATGAATCATGCAAAGAGACTTGTTGAAAGTGGTCTTCATCCGTCTTATATTGGAATTATCACTCCTTATGCTGCACAGGTTCTGGTCCCTTTGGCCTTTTCTTCCAAGTATTTTGTTTTTTATGTCGACAGCTGGAAGAAATTAATACTGTTTATGCATCCAAAATTTCCTAGTTCCTAACTAATAAGTTGATACTATTTATTTATTGATGACCTTCCTGCTTGAATGCAGCATCTTTCTTCATTTTATTCGGTTTTTCTTACTTTCCTTTTAGGATTACTTTCAGAAAACCCTCCTGAACCTTGAGGGTTTTACACATAATCCCCTTGAAATTTTTTATTTCGCATAGCCCTTCTGACCTTTGGGTGTCCCACAAAGGCTGAGCTTATTTAAAAAAAAAAAAAAACTGTACTTAGCAAATGAAGAGAATTTATTAAGAGAGAAAACCCCTCAATTAGGGGGCAAGGGTACATTGTCTGTAAACGACAAATGGCTAAAATTGAAATTTTCTCTCTCAAGGACATTTTAGTTATTTACCATTTATTGGTAGGGTTCATGGGGAGGAAAGTTTAAAGTTCAGGGGATTATGTATCATAAAGAAACTTTCAGAGGGGTAATCTTTATAACCCCCCAAAATTTGGGGAGATTTGTGAAATTAACCCTTCCCTTAATTCTATTTTTCGTACTTTAATGGAATGATTTCATTTCATGTACGTAGGTGACTTGTCTCAGAATGATGCGAGGCGAAGATGCTAAGCTGAAAGATTTAGAAATCTCTACAGTTGATGGATTCCAAGGCCGAGAGAAAGAAGCCATTATCATTTCCATGGTTAGGTCAAACTCAAAGAGAGAGGTAATTTTTTCTCTTAAGAGCTTTTATATTTATACATACCAAGAAAGCAATTACATAATCAATTATCTGCATTCTCCCTTCAGGTGGGCTTCTTGAGTGATAACAGAAGAATGAATGTGGCTGTTACACGAGCTAGAAGACAGTGTTGTCTTGTTTGTGATACCGAAACTGTAAGCTCCAACAAGTTCTTGAAGACTTTGATTGAATATTTCGAAGAGCATGGTGAGTATCTGAGTGCATCTGAATATGAGCATAATTACGTCCTATGACATATTGCAATTGCAATTGTATTCAACAATCTCGATGATTAGGCTGTAAGAAGCGCAAAGACCTATGAGAAACTATATAGCTGTGTTGTTTTACTGAATTATTCAGTCTCAACTTAGTACTTCCCGGACCTTGCTGCTATTTTCAGAAAATATTGTTTCGTATTTCATCTAGCCCCAAGAAATTCTTTACCCACATAGGAGAAATGCTTTTCAAATAACGGAAGAGTGGGAACGAGGCTAAAATCCTAAGTTGTGTTTTCTGGGCAGAGATTTCTCGTGTATATTTTGAAGATGTTAAAAATTTAACAGATATAATGGTGAGATTGAGGATGGAGTGTTATGATTAAGATATAATGATGAGATTAATGGTGAGATTAAGGAGTGGTTTGTGAAATGAAATCGATATGATTAAAATGGAGGAATGCTTTTGAAGATAGTAGGATACGCATGAGATTGAAGGTGATTAAAATGGAGGAGTGCTTTTGAAGATGGTAGGATATGCATGAGATTGAAGGGAAAATTTCAGGGGACAATTATAAGATAGATGATACTTTGTAGATGAGAGTGTTGGGCAAATTAAAAACAAAATGTGCATGAGTCAAGTGTTGGAGAGTAAAGAGCTTTGTGATGGTTTTGTGGTTACACATTAAGAGAGATGATAAGAAATGAGTACATTAAGAAATATAATAAGAAATGAGTACATTTTGTCATAATTAGATGTTGCTCCTATTGCTCAAGGAGGGAGATTCAGAGCTGAGATAGTTTGGTCATATATACAGTAGAAGTCAATTAATGTACTAATCAGGGTCAATTAGTGTACTAATTAGTAGTAGGAGCGATAAGATTATAGTTAATGACAACAAAAAACATTATAGGTAGATAGTAGGGATAATATTATAGGTAATGGGAGCAACAAAAAACATTATAGGTAGATAGTAGTGATAATATTATAGGTAATGAGAGAAGAATGATATGATAATAGTTGACATAAAGGACAAATGACTCATAATAAAACTCAATGGAAGAATATGATTTCAGCACCGACCTAAAAGTTTAGATTAAAAGTTGTTGTTTTTGTATTGAAATTTAAACAATATGTAGTGGTCGAGGACAAACTTGGAGGACATGTGCAATTAGGGTGCAAATTAGCAACATCATATATTTTGGAGACAATTTAAAATGCCTACATTTTGGGTGGGGGAATGGATAGGAAAAATAACCATATAGTTGTATCAGAATAATCCAAATTTCAATCATATCACATGTTGATTTCAAAAAGAACTCTTAAAATACTCTGGTCTAGAGAAAATATAGGTTTTAATCATTGAAAAGGACCCTCAATCCATAGAATGTTACAGCATGAAACTATATTCCCATAGCTCCAATGTTGTAGTATAATACAAGGTACCTTAGATTGTTTAGTTCTCCCTAAATTTTGTTTGGTTAGTTACTTGTGCATTCACAATGTTATAGTCAATTATACCACTTTAAACTATTTTATCACCATTTTATACTTGCTATTTGTATCCCGGACCATAGTACTTTTTGACCGTCAATTTACAAGGCAACATGGTCCTTCGATTAAGTTGAGAGGAAAAAGGTAATTTATCATCTCATGATTTCAACATGACACGTCTCGATCTAAAGATAGAATAAATGTAGTCTATGATTCAGGGAGTGTAATTGCTAATAAAATAATTTATGGAATATAAGCTGATGGTCTCATGCTTGTGGATACACAGCAAAAAGCTGCTCTACTCCACTATTCAAACATCACGGTTCCTCCGCATGCATCATCATCCACATATATTCAAATCCAATGTATTTGGCAAAAGGAAAACCCAAGCTAGCTAGCTAGCTACAACCGCCATTAAGTCATCATGCAAACCAAGCACATATTTCTCTCCAGGGGCGGATCCAGGATTTTAGTTCTGGGGGGCCGCGTACAAAAGATAGATGAAAAATTTTCTTAATGTAATTTTATTCACAAGAGATATACCACAACCCAAATAAAACGAGTAAAATAGCCAACATCAATATCTCCAAAATATTTCAAAAGAGGAAGACAAAAATATTATATAGAAAATAGTCAAATAAGCATCATCTATTTTTTTATAACTAAAATTTCTCTAACTAAAAGGAATTCGACGTTCCTTAAAATTTTCAAAATCTTCAATGATAGCATCAATGCTCAGACTTTTAGCAATTTTTCTTTCAATAAACACCATTAATGCGTCGGAGAGGAAAGCATCCTCCATTTTGCTTCGAAGCCTAGTCTTGACGATATTCATAGCTGAGAATGATCGTTCTGCAGTAGCAGTAGAAACTAGAAGAGTAAGCACAAGTACGATCACTCTAAAAATGAGGTCGTATGTAACAGATTTATTAGTCTTTACCAACCATTGACACAACTCAGAAATTGTTGAAAGAGTTTTGAAGTCTGACCCTTTGACTACATTATGCTCATAATGTTTCAGTTGCATCTTCAAACTCTCTTTTTCTTCACTTGTAAAATCTTGTGCATAAAACTTGCCAACCAATTTGCATATATCTTGTATTCTCAAAGCCTCAGATGCATTTTGAGGATTTAAGGCAGAACTAAGCATGAGCAATTCTGTCGCATCTTCACTAAAACACACATTAATTTCTTGCATTTGTGAATCGATCGCGGCATAAAAAAAGTCTACTCGATAATGATGCCCAATGGTGATGTCTTGATGACCACGAGCTCGGCGTCGTCTATCAACATACTGAGCACTAAAATCAGGAATATTAAGTTACGAGCCACACAAAAAGACTTCACTTTTTGTATGTTGGAAAATTTGTAATAAAAAGACAGTGAAAGAAAATTGATTTGTATTCTCTCAAAATCAATTACAATTTGGATTCCGATTACAAAAAAGAGGAGAATGAATTTTATTCTCCCCTTTGTTTAAAACTGGGTTCTTCACGGTAGCGATGGAGTGCCTCCTTCGATTGTTCGCGTCGAATTTGCTCTCTGTTGACGATCCGACCGTCTTATCTCGTGGGAATGTTAAACTTCTGTAGAAAGTTTGATGGGTAACTCTTTAACGAGTTTAAGAACTCTGAACGAGTTAGAACTCTGTGAATAGAGTTGTTATAACCGAAAATTCGGTTAATGACCAAGCAGATATTCTGTTGTTGAAGAATCTTCTTAGATTTGATCTTCTGAATTTGATTCAAATCTTCTATCTCCAAGGAATTCGCCTCTCCTGCCTCTCTGTGCGGTTGAGATCCTGAAGAATCCTCTCTGCTGCTGCCTCTCCGTTCCAAAAAGCCAGCATTTAACTCAGTTGAGTTTGTTGAGATTTTATAGGTGGATAAGAGGTTGTAACTGTCCTCTAAATCCGCTTCTAAGTGGGCGTGATTTCCTCAGATCGTGGGAAAACAATTCTGAAACCGTTCGACTCATATTTGAACGAGTCAAACGCCTAATCTGGCGTTCAGAACCCCAACTTCGCGTCTTAGAATTGAGACGCGAGGTTGGGTGTTGACTGAACATCAATGAACGCGAGGGTCGCTCGTATTTTACTTGTTGCAGCTTGGAAATGCTGGGGTCGGGTGTTGGTTGAACCTCAAGAACGCGAGGATCGTTCGCATTTGACTTGTTGTAGCTTGGAAACGTGGGGGTCGTCTGCACTTCCAGAATTGTAACGCGGGGATGACTTCCGCGTTTTAAAAGGGGTTAGTTGATCTGTAACCTCTTCTACAGAGCGTTGCAAGGACCATTGTTCAGTAATCCTAGCTTTAGCTGTTGTGGAGTGTGAAAGTCGTCAGATTGTAACTTTCACTGTAGATTGTGAAGACTGCTGAATAGAGTTTTTATCAGTTGTTGGAAGTATCGTTGAATTGTAACTCCTCTCGATCTATGTGAAAAGTCCTCCGTTTGCAGCTTTCGTTTGTTGGCATGAAAGCTATCTGATTGTAGCTTTCATTGTTAGAACTTGATGGGGATCAATTATCCATTGTGATATTTAGACGAATATTTGCCCACAGCTCTCTACCAAGCAACTCACCAACTAAGTCCAACCTTTTATTTCTGAAATCATTACACTGCTCATCAGCATCTCTAATAGTTGCTAATATAATATTAGTCATGTTGTTGTCGCAGCCATCAAGATCAATCATCTCAAACATGAGGTCGTGTTTGTAGCGATTATAATGCCGCGAATGTAATGATTTAGAAATCTCTTCTGTTTTGATTGTAAGGATGAATTCTGCTTCTTGATTTGAAGGAACCATTGCCTTGTAATCTCGTGGGGATCAGCTATCCATTGTAATTTTTAGACAGCCTACACTTTTTCAAGCAAATTATCCCACTTGTCATCCCTTAACTCTTGTAGTAATCTTTTTGTAGATGCCACAAGCTCCATTGCATTCGAAATGTCTTGAGACTTCCTTTGTAAAGTCTGGCAAAGAAAATCTGTGATCCCCATAATCTCACTCATTAGATGTAAGATAAATACAAAATCGAACGAAGTCATTTCATCATAAACAGATGTTGCATCGGCTCGTTGGGAAGGAAGCCCATCCTCCATAACTTTGAGCAACACCGTACATGCTGCACTGAACATCCTGATCAAACTTGATAATGATCTGAAATGAGAACTCCAACGCGTATCAGTAGCTCGTTGTAAAGTGCCGATCTGATTAAGTCCAGGCACTGTCTCGAGTTCATTATTAGAAATCAAATGGGCAATGTCATCCGCGTGAGCTTTCTTCAATTCATCATTACGCTTGCAAGAAGCACCAACCATATTAACTATAGAAATTAATTTATCAAAAAACATATGAATGGGAGTCAGATTTTTTGCTGCCGCAACAAGAGCTAACTGTAGCCGATGAGCAAAGCAATGAACATAGTAAGCAGTCTTACAATCTTTCATAATCAAAGCTTGCAATCCATTGAATTCACCCCTCATATTACTGGCCCCATCGTAACCTTGACCTCTAATATTTTGAACATCCAAATTGTAATAAGCCAAAGCAGAATATATGGCGTTCTTTAAAGTCAAAGCTGCAGTATCGGAAACATGAACAATCCCAAAAAAACGTTCTTGAATGAATCCATTAGTGTCCACAAACCGCAACACAATAGACATTTGCTCTTTTTTTGACTCATCACGGGCTTCATCAACAATGATACAATACTTGGCAACTCCAATTTCTTCACGAATTGCATTTTTCAATCTCACTGAAAACACATGAAGTATTTGTTTTTGAATATCATGACTTGTATATTTGGCATTTTTGGGAGCTTTCGCAATTGCCTTTGAAAGTTCGTCATTCTCCATAGCCAGCACATCCAAAAATTCAAGAAAATTGCCACGATTGGACGAACTAGATTTCTCATCGTGGCCTCTAAACGTAATCCCTTGGAGTGCAAGCAATCGCACCACAAGTATGTGAGCTCTTAACCGAAGACGATTTGTTGCAATTTGTTCAGCATTGAAGTTGTCGAATCGCCTTGATATATGTTGCGGTTGGTTCATCAAATCCTCACATGCCTTTTCAGCATTACGATGGAGTGAGGATACATTATCTTTTCCTATATGGCCTAGGAAAGCACATGCTTTTCCGCTTCGAACTTTCTTCCAACTATCAAAACCATCAACAACAAAAGCAGTTTGATTTTTGCATCCCGATGGCTTGTTGAAGAGAAAACATGGAAAGCAATATGCTTTATCTTTAGCCGGTGAATACTCCAACCAATGAAATAGCTCATACCAAGTAAATTGAAATCTTCGAGGATGCTTAATATCCTTATTTAATGGATAATCTTGAAGAATAGGTTGATATGCCTTTAGATTCAAATAAGCTCGACGAATCTCCTCCCGTTGGTCAAGAGGGTATTCCCATATTTGTCGACGCAAGCCTGGATCACGCTCTAAGGAATTAAGATCAACTTCTTCACCGTCTGGATTTCTAAACCTTTTAGGAGGATTTTCAGATGGAAGATCATTATCATTTGAGGCTAGTGAAGGGGTTATAGGAGCAGCATGACCTAATTCACTTCCTCTCTTCCTTTGGAAAAACTTATCAATTGTAACAGATTTTCCCATTTTATTTCAAATTTAATCACTGACCAGTCTGACCTGTGAAGTTCAAGTAAAAGTTAAAACCCCTGCCTTTTGAAATTCCTAAAGAAATAAAGTACAGAACCAATCAACAGCGCATACATCAGGATCATTTTAAAAAAAGTTTTTTTTTAAGAGAAAATCACAATCAAATACTCATCAGCATTATCCACACATTTATTTTTTATTTAGAGAAAATCACACATTTAAGTTAATAAGCCGACACACACACATCCACTAAACTATAGAATAATTGAATATAAAAGAGGCATATGCTATAGCTTCTGCAAGAGCTTGGGTTAAAAGAAATTAAATTCCGCTCAAACAAATTAGATACAAAATCAAAGCATATACTCTCAAATCCATGTATTTCTGATGATGGCTGTCTCTCCATCAACAAACAAAGATAGATATATTTCTTTAGGAAAATGTATCTATCCAATATATTTGTTTGTATTTATTTCTTTAGGAATTTCAAAAGGCAAGAGTTTTAACTTTTACTTGAACTTCACAGGTCAGACTGGTCAGTGATTAAATTTGAAATAAAATGGGAAAATCTGTTACAATTGATAAGTTTTTCCAAAGGAAGAGAGGAAATGAATTAGGTCCTGCTGCTCCTATAACCCCTTCACTAGCTTCAAATGACAATGATCTTCCATTTGAAAATCCACCTAAAAGATTTCGAAATCCAGATGGTGAAGAAGTTGATCTTAATTCCTTAGAGCGTGATCCAGGCTTGCGTCGAAAAATATGGGAATACCCTCTTGACCAACGGGAGGAGATTCGTCGAGCATATTTGAATCTAAAGGCATATCAACCTATTCTTCAAGATTATCCATTAAATAAGGATATTAAGCATCCTCGAAGATTTCAATTTACTTGGTATGAGCTATTTCATTGGTTGGAGTATTCACCGGCGAAAGATAAAGCATATTGCTTTCCATGCTTTCTCTTCAACAAGCCATCGGGGTGCAAAAATCAAACTGCTTTTGTTGTTGATGGTTTTGATAGTTGGAAGAAAGTTCGAAGCGGAAAAGCATGTGCTTTCCTAGGCCATATAGGAAAAGATAATGTATCCTCACTCCATCGTAATGCTGAAAAGGCATGTGAGGATTTGATGAACCATATAGGAAAAGATAATGTATCCTCACTCCATCGTAATGCTGAAAAGGCATGTGAGGATTTGATGAACCAGCCGCAGCATATATCAAGGCGATTCGACAACTTCAATGCTAAACAAATTGCAACAAATCGTCTTCGGTTAAGAGCTCACATACTTGTGGTGCGATTGCTTGCACTCCAAGGGATTCGTTAAGAGCTCACATACTTGTGGTGCGATTGCTTGCACTCCAAGGGATTCCGTTTAGAGGCCACGATGAGAAATCTAGTTCGTTCAATCGTGGCAATTTTCTTGAATTTTTGGATGTGCTGGCTATGGAGAATGACGAACTTTCAAAGGCAATTGCGACAGTTCCCAAAAATGCCAAATATACAAGTCATGATATTCAAAAACAAATACTTCATATGTTTTCAGTGAGATTGAAAAATGCAATTCATGAAGAAATTGGAGTTGCCAAGTATTACATCATTGTTGATGAAGCCCGTGATGAGTCAAAAAAAGAGCAAATGTCTATTGTGTTGTGGTTTGTGGACACTAATGGATTCATTCAAGAACGTTTTTTTGGGCTTGTTCATGTTTCCGATACTGCAGCTTTGACTTTAAAGAACGTCATATATTCTGTTTTGGCTCATTATAATTTAGATGTTCAAAATATTAGAGGTCAAGGTTACGATGGGGCCAGTAATATGAGGGGTGAATTCAATGGATTGCAAGATTTGATTATGAAAGATTGTAAGACTGCTTACTATGTTCATTGCTTTGCTCATCGGCTACAGTTGGCTCTTGTTGCGGCAGCAAAAAATCTGACTCCCATTCATATGTTTTTTGATAAATTAATTTCTATAGTTAATATGGTTGGTGCTTCTTGCAAGCGTAATGATGAATTGAAGAAAGCTCACGCGGATGACATTGCCCATTTGATTTCTATTAATGAACTCGAGACAGGGCCTGGACTTAATCAGATCGGCACTTTACAACGAGCTGCTGATACGCGTTGGAGTTCTCATTTCAGATCATTATTAAGTTTGATCAGGATGTTCAGTGCAGCATGTACGGTGTTGCTCAAAGTTATGGAGGATGGGCTTCCTTCCCAACGAGCTGATGCAACATCTGTTTATGATGAAATGACTTCGTTCGATTTTGTATTTATCTTACATCTAATGAGTGAGATTATGGGGATCACAGATTTTCTTTGCCAGACTTTACAAAGGAAGTCTCAAGACATTTCGAATGCAATGGAGCTTGGGATCACAGATTTTCTTTGCCAGACTTTACAAAGGAAGTCTCAAGACATTTCGAATGCAATGGAGCTTGTATCATCTACAAAAAGATTACTACAAGAGTTAAGGGATGACAAGTGAGATAATTTGCTTGAAAAAGTGAAGTCTTTTTGTGTGGCTCCTAACATTAATATTCCTGATTTTAGTGCTTAGTATGTTGATAGACGACGTCGAGCTCGTGGTCATCAAGACATCACCATTGGGCATCATTATCGAGTAGACTTTTTTTATGTCGTGATCGATTCACAAATGCAAGAAATTAATGTGCGTTTTAGTGAAGATGCGACAGAATTGCTCATGCTTAGTTCTGCCTTAAATCCTCAAAATGCATCTGAGGCTTTGAGAATACAAGATATATGCAAATTGGTTGGCAAGTTTTATGCACAAGATTTTACAAGTGAAGAAAAAGAGAGTTTGAAGATGCAACTGAAACATTATGAGCATAATGTAGTCAAAGGGTCAGACTTCAAAACTCTTTCAACAATTTCTGAGTTGTGTCAATGGTTGGTAAAGACTAATAAATCTGCTACATACGACCTCATTTTCAGAGTGATCGTACTTGTGCTTACTCTTCCAGTTTCTACTGCTACTGCAGAACGATCATTCTCAGCTATGAATATCCTCAAGACTAGGCTTCGAAGCAAAATGGAGGATGTTTTCCTCTCCGACACATTAATGGTGTTTATTGAAAAAGAAATTGCTAAAAGTCTGAGCATTGATGCTATCATTGAAGACTTTGAAAATTTTAAGGAACGTCGAATTCCTTTTAGTTAGAGAAATTTTAGTTATAAAAAAATAGATGATGCTTATTTGACTATTTTCTATATAATATTTTTGTCTTCCTCTTTTGAAATATTTTGGAGATATTGATGTTGGCTATTTTACTCGTTTTATTTGGGTTATGGTATATCTCTTGTGAATAAAATTATATTAAGAAAAATTTTCATCTATCTTTTGTACGCGCCCCCCCCAGAACTAAAATCCTGGATCCGCCCCTGGTTAGCTCTCTATATAGTATTCAATATCAAGAATTGCTTCAATCCCCTTGTAGTACTATATATCATCCAAAGTGTAATGAAAGAGACGGGAATTAAGAAAGGGAAAGTTTGTGATTTTTTGGTTTATATATGAGGGATTCAAATGCAGAGGGTTTAGGTCTCCTAAAGGGTTTGTGCCTATATCACTGCTGGAAACATAACTTTTAGCGACGGACAAATCCGTCGCTAAAAGTCGAAAATCCGTCGCTAAAACCTTTAGCGACGGAAAATATAAAATTCCGTCGCTAAAAGATCGTCCGTATAGTGAGGGTAGCTGAAATTTGTTTTAGCGACGGATATTCCGTCGCTAAATTTTAGCGACGAAAAATTAGCGACGGATAATCCGTCGCATTACTTTATTTAAAAAATTAAAAAAAACTTTAGCGACGGATTTTCCGTAGCTAAAAATTCTTTTAGCTACGGAAAAGCCGTCGCTAATAACTATTAGCGACGGAAAATCCGTCGCTAATAAACGTATTGTTTGAAAAAAATAAAAATAAAAAAACGAATATTCCGTCGATATTAACTGTAGCGACGGAATATCCGTCGTTAATTATTTATCTATTTTCCGTCGCTAAAAAGTGTATTTAGGACGGATTGAATTCCGTTGCTAAAAATTTCCATTATTTTTTTAAAAAATAATTTGGAAAATTGAAAAAACCGCTGTACAATACTATAATAAATTTAAAATGCCTGTTTCAATCCGCAGTATAATATTCATTCTCACGCATATATAAACATATTTAATTAAAATATTCCAACACTGTAAGCGTTGTTTATCAGTACACACCATGATAAGTAATTTGTTTTACAACACACTGATTCATATGTTTTCAAAGGTAAAAACAAATTCAAGGTCCTCTTGATCATCATCTGCTCGATCACAAAGCGTCCACCCTTGTCTAGAAGTCGCCCGAAGGCCTGCAGATTATAATCAAACACGTTAACAAACATGGCAGTGACATTCAAGTATGGCAATAAGAGAGTAATTCAATGGCATATTCTTCTGTATTGATACGCGACGACGACACAATTTTTAAGCAACAGACGCATACACAACGCTAAATCAAGCATGCACGCATAATTTTTACAACAATACGCGTACGACGCAGCTAAATTTCTCACCCATATTGCGGCATTGTAGCGCGTAACATGCTCATACGTGTACATGCAACATACGCGTATATCGCACGCACGTGCGACAAACAACGCGTGCCAGCTATGCAGCGCATGCAGCCAACACTCCACACCCCCACCCCCCACCCTCCCTCCGCCCTGCCACTACATTCACCACCACGAACGCAAATCCACACTCCTTCGTCCCTCGCGCCCACCATGACCAATCACCGCACGCAAGCAATCACATAAACCAACCATACGCGCAGCAACCAGCAACACACAACCACTGACTAAGCTAACCAATTCAGCAACCAATATATCATCACTACGGGCATGCACGCACCAGTCAACAACCACCCATCACATAAAATATTAATTACGATGCACAGCACGCGTGCAATGCACGCACGCATGGCACACACACATACACGCATCGCAACCAACTGCCACAGCACACCAGCCGCCACCCGCCTCCCGCCTAACAATCACCCGGCACCGACACAACCAAAATCACACTCCTTTCCCCTCCCACCACGTACCAATTTCCACCTGACAAGGCGATCACAATAACTTAACCATACGCAGCACCGACCGCACAACACACAACCACGCAACTAACCATTCACCAACCAATATTATCATCACTACGCACGCATGCACCATCAGCACACATCACCATAAAAATAGTTATACGTATTGTATTTTGGTCTTTGTGTTAGGTTACGATTTAGGGTTTGTAATGTAAAAGTGTGTATCGATGTGTGTGAATATCCCATTTAGTCAGCATGGCATATTCATAACTAAGTAAGAATTAAATATATGTAATTGCATTTAATTTAAAAAAGTAATTATACTATATATATATATATATATTATATATATATATATATATATATATATATATATATAATATATATATATATTATATATATATATATATAATAATTATATATATATATATAATATATTATAGAGCAACTTCTGTCCACTTAAGGTGGAGCGTCCCCTAAGTTCTTATCCATTGACTGATCTACTAGATTGAGCACATTTGTGGATGATCCGCTCGCGTTAAACTTGATCTAGTCATATTCTAAAACCAACACCACCAAAATTTGGGTGGAACCCGTCGTAGTTTGACCATTCTGCCACGTATTAATTTTAAACGGTTTCGAATGAATAGAACTTTTTTACATGGCTCGACGGAGGGTCAAACTACGACGGTTCACCCCCAAATTGGTGTGTTGGGGTTTTAGAATATGTAAGACAAGTTTAACGGAGCGGATCATCGGCAGCAATGTTGCTCATCTAAGGTAATCATCACTGGAAAGAAAACTTAGTTGGACGTCCACTTAAGTTTGAGCAGAGAGTTTTGCCCTCTATATATATAGTTATATATATATTATATATATATATTATATATATTACCTGATCCGCCAAAAAACGCGTCTCCTATATGCCTCCTGAGCATCAAGAAGGGTAGAGTCGATATAAATGGGTGAATTCCAGCTCCCACTCATGCTCCGACGCCTCGTTCTTGCGCTCCGCCATCCTGAGTAGCTCCGACTGCCCGGACGCGACTGGCCAATCTTCCATCGCTTTCATTCCGCTGCTTCCATAGTGCGGGTCTTGAGAAGACCTGCATCCTGGTGAGCTGCAGACTCGTAGGTGCTAGTACTGGACCTCCCCGTACGGCCGATGCTCGGATCCTGCATCCACCTGTACTCTGTTCTCCTATCGGTCCAAGTGACCGTCTCGATGATCTATCCTCCTGCCTCTCGTACTAATCGGGTCGGAGGTTAGAATCGACTCTGAGTCTGTGATAATTGCTCCTGCACCTTAGCATGTAATTTTCTCCCTGACTGGCGACTATACCAAAACAACCCGGTCAATTCTAACGACATTTTAAATGCATTGGTTATAAAAATTAAATATAACAAATCTAACTCTACTTACGCCAGAGTCCGCGGTTCCTATCTGGGCGCTTTCTTCACTTCATCGGCGTAATTGACATCCCAACCAACCGTCCAGAATACGGATCTGCAAAATGCCGCGAGTTTCTCCCTTCGTAATTTAGTTCAACATATATCATTAACATCATAAACAATAAATTATACTCAAATTGATAACACTAAGAGCTAATATAATTATGTACCTTCTACAGCGCCAATATTGATGATAATGCTGCTGAAGACCGGAGCGCCCCCGTGATGCTCGTAACTGACACTCGGGGGCTGCATTGCGTTCCTCCTTGCTATTGTCAGCAATATTCTGCAAAAGAAATGTTAAACAGATCTAATATAGAATTTCACATAAAACAAAGATAATAACTGTCATAATACGTGAGCTTTTCGGCCGTGTCCAATAATCGGCAAAGTGAAAAAAATCCCCACGTAGCCATCCACGGGCGCGTTCGTCAAGATGCAGTGAACGCGTCCTATCTTCTGTTCTTTGAGTAAAATATTTTTTTGCTTCAGCTCTGACCAGGCGCAACCTCTTTGAAGCGATAAGATTGATTTGCGTGAAACCGTTAAGTCCAGGCACAAGCGTAATCGTCAAGAAAGAAAAAATCCGCTTCAGCATACAATGAAAAAAGAGATACAGAATGCAGTGTGTTAAACAAAATAATGAAAATGAGACTAATAATTATGAGAATTAAAATAAATGACCACACATATATATCGCCAACAAGCCTACCAGCGCTCAATCGCTGCGTCCGACTTCCACCGTCAAATCTATGTTGAAGAAATCATCGTCTCCTGGCTAAAGAGGCGAGGAAATTGTTAAGAAGAGTTTGGCAAATGGCCCGACAGGCACGCCAGTTCTTGCCCATCGGATAAGCGCCCTCACGAATATCTGGAACGAGGTTCTGTGGCTTTGGTAGCCGACTTGCGGCCAGCGCGCCTAGTAGGTCGCTCGTACCTACGAATATTTAAATTCAGCGCGAAATATAAATCAATCAATATCGATAATACAAATTAAATATAACAGATAAACCATAAAACGTACTACACACCTTTCAATCGAAGGCATCTACCCTTGCTGTTCATACCTCTGCTGTGGGCGATAAGTCGCAATTCAGATAAGCATCCGCAATCCTCCTTCATCCTTGGCACGGCTCGTGGAGCCTCGCTGATCCGGAATAGAATGCCGCGGGCGGTAGTGGCGGGTGCAGGCTTCTACAGCTGCGCTATGATGGCTCAAAACGGCGCTCCTCTAAAAATCCATACATCTGGCATCGGAGGAGGGCGACGCGGCATCTTTCTCTGCATGCTCGAGCAGGATCAACCGAGTGTCTCCGGCATCAGGTGGATGGCAATCTCCCTCCTGTGTCCTTGGCGGCTCCGTCATGTGTATCCGCAGGCGATGCGGCCTGCGTAGGAAATCTGAAAAAATACTGTTTAGCTCCGTATTAATATTTAATAAGAAATGTAAGATATAATAAATTAATAAAATACCTAGGACGTAGAGCCATGTACGTCGCCTGGACTCCAGAATGTCTAACCAATAAGTCCTCAAGCGCTCTCTTAGGGCGTAATCCGGTTTTGTCATCTATACTTGAAACATAGAATGAGTACCAACAAATACTATAATATACATGACAAAAACTGCCTACATGAT